CGGGGTTTCACCATGTTAGCCAGGATGGTCTCGATCTCCTGACCTCGTGATCCACCCGCCTCGGCCTCCCAAAGTGCTGGGATTACAGGCTTGAGTCACCGCGCCCGGCCGGATAGCCCACTTTAAAAAAGAAAAAAATACGGCTTTAAAAAGAATTATGTATGTTTCCAAAGTTATAAATAATGCTGGCGAGTATTAGGACTCACATAAATCCTGGGGGCAAGGTGGCATTATCCCAATTTGTATGAAAAGAAACAGACTCCGAAGTGAGGAGGCTTACTCAGGGTTACACAGTTACAAGGTAGCTTGCCTCTGGCCATGGGAAGTTTGGTGGAAATGGGGATGGAGAATTGCTGTCTGTTTCTCTGTTTCCTGCTGCCAGCACTGGGTGCCAGCCTCTGTTGCCCTCTTCCCTCTCTCTCTTGCCAGGTGTCCAGGATGTGGAGGTGCACTTGGAGAATCAGATGGTCTTGGTACACACCACTCTGCCCAGCCAGGAGGTGCAGGCTCTCCTGGAAGGCACGGGGCGGCAGGCAGTACTCAAGGGCATGGGCAGCGACCAGTTGCGTGAGTGACCACTATGGCCTTGGCCCCTCTGGGAGGGAGGTGGCTCAGAGCTGGTACAAATCTAACCATAGGATTCTCGGGCTCTGGGTTGGCATGGCTTTGAGGAAGGTGTGAAAATTATGAGAGACTCCCTGCCCTTGCCGAGCTGCTGAAGAGGTGTGCTGGGTGAGGTGGCAAGCCAACCCAAGTATCTAATACCTTGCAGGTAATCTGGGGGCAGCAGTGGCCATCCTGGGAGGGCCTGGCACCGTGCAGGGGGTGGTGCGCTTCCTACAGCTGAGCCCTGAGCGCTGCCTCATCGAGGGAACTATTGACGGCCTGGAGCCTGGGCTGCATGGACTCCATGTCCATCAGTATGGGGACCTCACAAACAACTGCAACAGGTGAGTTGTCCGAAGTCTCCCCAGTAGCATTCTCAGCTACACATTTTCACACTTGCCCTTCACCAATACTCTGTGAGGCACATACACACAGGCACAACCTCCAGATGAGGAAACTGAGGCTCACGGAGGTTAAATGACTTGCCAAAGGTCCAGAGCAGGTAAAAGGTAGAGTTGGGATTTGAGTCAAGATCTCACTTTGGCTGGGCACAGTAGCTCACACCTGTAATCCTAGCACTTTGAGAGGCCAAGGTGGGCGGATCACCTGAGGTCAGGAGTTCAAGACCAGCCTGGCCAACATGGTGAAACCCCATCTCTACTAAAAATACAAAAAAAATTAGCCGA